AGCTGCTAATGGTATCCACCAGAGTGTATGCAGCTTCCGGTTTTGGCTACGCGTCGTCACTCTCACTCCTTATTTGGTAATGTGTGTGTGTGTTAGACTGCGCTGGACTGCCGCATAGCCAAGACCGGAAACAGCAGCCACTCTGGTGGCTACCATTAGTAGCTAACTTTTGCTCTGCGATATTTACATAAAAATGGAATTAATGATTATAAATTAAATCATTTTTTTTATACAGAGACGTTAAAAACCTATGGATTAACCGATTCAGCCGCGTTTTTTCTTTCTCGTTTTAATGCCATTGAACACGTCTTTTGATCAGATTGACAGCTATGGTGAGACATCTCCCTAGAAGCTACGTAAAGGTACGTGTTGTGATGTCTGTGTTTGCTTCCCCTGTCCGAGTTCAGATCACTCAGTGATGATACTATATACCTAAATAATCTGTGGAACCTCAGCTTTAATCGGATATCTTGTAAGTGCAGCTACGATAAGTAATAAGGGTACTTTTATCTTGAGTTCTGTGCCAAAGTGCGTTAGCATTTTTCGCTCAGGGGTCATTTAGATGCTTCTTATGAGACTTGTGTTTTGTTTTGGTAAAGATTGTTTGTATCGTCAGTTAGCTGAGATGTTTTCCGTTAATCTGGTATAACACATTAATAGGTTCTTAAATATTACGATCCCCTGAGACACTGTCGTGAAAAAAAAAGTAAAGTACCCGCCGGGACTTTGGGGTTTAACAGGTTACAAAAAACGCAATATATACCGCAGGGGGGGAAAAAAATCGCGATGTCAGTTTTTTTCAATACCGTGCAGCCCTAATGTGAAGCCACCGAGCACCGGTCCCCGGGGGAACCGGGCCTGGGGCAAGGCCCGTGGACCAAGCTACTTATTCGGCCTTGCGGCCCAATAATCGCTCTGACCTGGTGAGGCGGGGGCATCTCTAACAATGAGTGAGTAGCCCACACACCCGCCGCCCTGATCATCATCCAGGGAGAGTACAGCCCTGGGCGGTGGACTTCCATGGACTCCAGACCCGGAAGGAATGGCGAACGTGAATGGCACCGCCTCGGCCATATCCTGGTCCCCCAAACACTCGAAGCAAAAGGTGGTGGGGATCGGCGCCCGCTATTTCAGCCAGGGCACGAAGGACAGGCCCGGGTCTCTAGCAGTGGCAACTCCCTGGAGGTATGATAACTCTTCTTTCAAACGTCTCTCAGTCTCTCGTGGAATCACTTCCGCTGCTGAAGAGAAAAGGATGATAGTCAGGAGGCGAGGCCTCCTTTTATACGGTGTGATGCGCGCGCATTCAGGTAGGCCCGCCCAAGGCCGGCTACGTCTATAGAAGTCTCAGTGGGAGAATGCTCGCAGGGTAAGGTAGTACCCATAGAGTCCAGTAGAGGGCGGAGCCTGTGAGAGATATAACCTGATGTACTTTTATGATTCTGTTTTCCTCAAGTTTGTATCTTGTTGGTCGAATGCACTTATTGTAAGTCGCTTTGGATAAAAGCGTCAGCTAAAGGCAATTTAATGTAATGTAAAATAGCGGACGGACACGGTCCCCATTGTAGGAACAGAAAGTGCTAGCAACAATAATAAAACCATACGAGTATACTCTATGTCTTTGTAGTGCAAAAGAGGGCAATCACAGTGACTTCTCCAGTTGGAAAATGTTCAGACTTCATGCAAATAATTATCTTGTTATAAGAAAAGTCTCAAAAGTATCATCATTTTCTAAATCAAGGCGACACATTTTATGCATCTAAAGGTTGTTAGTTACAATTTCAAATCTACAATGTTAATATATGGATTAGCAAATCAAGGAAAAAGTAAATTGTCAACCATTTTAAATAATGAAATAATAATTCCAAGACATTTATCAAAGAAAAGGAGAAACAGCTTGCAAAAATTCATTTAAAATCACGTATTGATATGAAGCTATTTGCAAAAATCTGAAAAAAATATACTCTTAATATAGGGGTGCAACGGTACACGTACCGAAATTATTTGGTACGGGCCCTTCGGTTCGGTACACGTGTGTACCGAACGAATATAATGTTAAACGTAAAAAATTGAGAACGTGAACAACTTTTTGGAAGTATTCTCAGGTGCTGCGTCGCAGCATTCAGTGTCATTTGGTCACATTGGGTTCAACGCGTCATAGAGCGAGCAAGTCATTTCATTGGACGAGAGGCATACCATGAGAGCTGGTCACAGGGATGCGTTCAAATTCAGTCAGTAATTTGAGAAACTGTCCAAATGGCGAACGCAGATAAAGTTGAGCTCGAAAATCCTCCAGCATCATTGAAGTCTCCGGTTTGGGAACATTTTGGTTTCGCAGTTACGTACAAGGATGAAGGACAAAGACAGGTGGACCGAACCAAAGCTGTTTGTCGGCATTGTTCAACTAACATTGGTTACGCGGCTGGCAATACATCAAACTTGCACACTCATTTGAAAAGGCATCACCCGAACGTGAATATCACCAGTACCAAAAGAAAAAAGACTGAAGTGCAAACCCATCTCCCGCTAGCATTTAAGCCTCCACCACTCGCAGAGAGTTCAGACCGAGCCAAAGCTATTACAAACGCCAAATATCCTTATGTTGCCATGTTAGCAAAGCCCTACCTGGCTGTGCTACCTCTGTCCCTAGCGAGAGGGTGTTCTCCACATCAGGAGACATTGTTAGTGCCAGCAGATCTGCCCTTTCGGCAAGCAATGTGGACAAGTTAATTTTTTCTTTAAAAAAACATGAAAATACAATGACAAGCAAGTCATAATGTCAAGCTGGCTGCTTAGGTGCTAGTACAGTACAGTTCAAATACAGATGATTTCAGTTCATCGAAAAGCTGCACCTTAATGTTTATTTTATATTTATTTGAGTGAATATTCATAGTTTAATAATAATTAAAAACCCAAAACTAATAGTTTATGTTTTGTGAGTACTAGTACAGTAAAGTTCAAATACAGATTATTTCAGTTCATCGAAATGCTGCACCTTAATGTTTATTTTATTTTGTATTTATTTGAGTGAATACATTATTCACAGTTTAATAATAATTAAAAAATATATATATATTTTATCTTTTGTGATCATTTTTCTGCTGTACCGAAAACATACCGAACCGAACCGTGACCTAAAAACCGAGGTACGTACCGAACTGAAATATTTGTGAACCGTTACACCCCTATCTTAATAGTGTAAATGATATAGTATATGGTGTGTTTTTTTGTTCAACATTTTTTTCTTAGAAAAAAGATATTCAAAAATGTTGATTTTTAGTTTGTTATTTAATGGTGGGGTAGGTAAGTTTGAGAGACCGGCTCGAGATACACTCTTAACATCCCGATAGCAATGAATATCTTAAGTGCTTTGACAAAAAATCCATACAAAAATGTCATCTGTGGAAGCCGTAGTGCTGTAAAAAGCACGACTAATCATTTTGGCCGGCCCGGCTAAAATGATTGGATGGCCAGCCTGCCTTTCAGCCTTCCATCAGTGCACAAACTTATCTCGTGCTCTCATTGGTCATGGGCGCGTTCGTGTCTGTTGGAGGAGGGGCTCTGTAAGGAAGTGGCACATTTTGTACGGCTTGGCTCATATCCTGACAGGAAGAGTCTTTCTGAAACAGAGCTCACTAATATACCCCCCTTGTGCAGAGTACACAGTCCATTCATTCTTTTAACAAGATTTTATATTATTAAACTCTGTTTTTCAGTATTTACAAATGTTGAGATTATAAGGAGTCAAATATTTGACTTTTTATGTTGGCCAATTTCAGACTTTTATTCCTTGAGTGCAAATTACCTCATTTGAATTTAGCATCAACCTAAACATTATATTTTGGTTTTAAAACAAAATAAGAGAACCGTTTAGTTTCAATTTTAGACAACCGTGGCCTGTATTGACCCAATTAGTAGGGCTGCGGTATATATTAATAATATGTTTACATTCTGATATAAGACTAGACATTGTCTTAGCTGTTGGAGATCGTAATATGTGTCTTCTCTTTCGTTGTAAAAGCTGCATTAGAGCAAAGTGATGCATTTTTATAAATGTTTTCTCATTGTGTGAACATTTTATGAAAGCACTAATAGTCCACCCTACAATATTGTCACAATATCATTATAAAGATATTTGGTAACAAATATTCTGATATACTCCATATCGGCCAGTGCTAGAACAATTGTTATTATTAGGTTGTTTTGTGTAATTTAGTAGTAACTAGCATCAGAAGTTTTCTATCATACCCGATCATGATCATGAATATATCACCGTCTGTGCCACATCTATGTTTTCCTCCTTTTTCCCGCCTCGGTTAATTTCTTCCCCAAAACGCTGATTCAACCTCTGTGATGTGGTCACAGACCCATCCAGCACCAGTCTGAGGATTATTTGTCCCTTTAGGGGCAATTTGTCAAATTATTATTTTGATTTCCTTTTTTGTATGTTGATATTTCTGTGCAATATATCATCACTTAAATAGAATACTTATTAAGTTTTATACTAGTTTTTTAAAAATGGTCCTTTAAGTGCTCCTATAGTAGGCCTACAACTTGTGTTTATGTGTGCACCATTTTACACACAAGCAAATTCCTTGTGTAACCATATTGGCAATAAACCAGATTCTGATTATAGTCCAATTAAACCAGCATGTTATTCACAGAAATGAGTCCTGGTTTGCTATTATAACCACTCTCTTTTCTATTATACTCCAATAAAAACCCCAATTATAAAGTTAAGATCCATTTTAAGCTTCCCTGAACCATATTTCTCCCCGTCTGGAGCCTCTTTGTCCGGCTGCACATGTAGGAGCAGCCCATGCGTGGATCTTTGTTGAGCACCTGCAGGCCTCACTTTCTCTCTGAACTCATAAACCTTAAATCGGCCTGAAGAGTTACGCAACGTGTGCGTGCTGGGACACACAGGGAGGAGTGCCCCCGCGAAACTGTTTGTTTGCGTGACTATGTGTGAATGTGCGTGTTGTGTAACGGCTGCCTACCAACGACTCGTCCCCGCTGCTCCAGGCGGCGTGTGTCGGTGTGGAGGTAGGTCTCGGTGCCGTGCCCGGCGGGGGAGTATAGCTGCGGTTGCTCGGGCTTTGTCCTGCCGCTGTCCGCCCTCTCGTCGCCCGCCGCCCTGCCAGTCTTGTTCCTACCCGCCACCGGGGACCCTCCGTTGTTTTTGCTGCTGTTGCGCTGGTTCGACTCCCACGTCTGTACCTGGAGCCGGAGCCTGCGGTTTTCCTGCTCCTTCACGGCGGTTTCCAGCAGCAGCGTATTGAGGCTCGAGCCCACCGTCTTGCTTATTTCCTGGACGGCTAGCTGAACGACCTGCTCCAGCACGGACTCCAGCTGGCCCTGGAAAAACGAAATGTACACGGCCCCGTTCATGTTTTCGCCCCCTCCGGTTAGAGGGCTCTCTCATAATTCTGTACCCGAGCCCCCAGGCTTCCCACCTGCCCTGTGTCTCCGGGAAACTTTGTAAAAACTGAAGCCCTGGTCGCTCGTGGTGACAGCGGATGCTCGGCTGGGCTCCTCCGTTTGTTGCCCTCTCTGTCTCCGCGCACCGCGCGGCTTCTGCTCCTTTGCAGGATCTGCCGGAAAGTCCCGAGTAGAGGCGCAGCAGATTTTTACCGCCCACATGTCTAGGCCGTGCACGCTCTCGCTCTTGCAGAAAGCCACCTCGCCATTTTGGCTTTCAGAGAATAACACTCCCAAATGTCAGGAGTGGACCGTGTTATTACTGCAAAATACCCACAAAGTACACACTGAGGCTGCACCACTGCAATAATTATGCACTTCGGACTAAGAACTGTAGCTTTAAATTATAATTTAAACAACATTAGTAGGCTAATTAAAACAATATTGTGATATTATTGGAGTTACTGACATTGACTTGTCATAAATGATGCCTCTTTATGTTTTGCATAGAAAGCACTTTTGTAAAATTGTTAGTTGATACTAAATGTTGTCATTTATTTTTGGTTTCATTGTAGTCATTGTGTGTCTCTCGGAGTTGTTTTGTGTGTCTTTGTAGTAATTTTGTCTTTTTATGTTATTTTCTGTCTTTTGCTAGTGTTTGTGTCTCATTTGTGTGTGCCTCTTTTAATCTTTTCATGTCTCAGTGATTGTTTGTGTCTGTCTGTAGTGTTTTTGTGTCTCATTTGTCGTTAATTTATGAATCTTTGTAATAATGTTATGTCTAAGACATTTTGTGTTTCCGTAATGATTTTGTTTCTCTTTGTGGTTATTTTTTGTCTCTATGAAGTAACAGTGTGACTCTATGCAGTCAGTTTTTGTCTATATGTTGTGTGTGACATGGTCATTTTGTGTCTTTGTATAGGCATGTTGTGTCTCTTGTAGAGGTTTAGTGGCAAATCCACTTTCTGTCAGCACTTAATTCATTATCCCCCCCACACACACCCCAGGACCCATGTGTTTCCTCTCTGGGTAATTTATCATCTCGATGCAGCCTAAAAACAAGCGTTCCTAAGGAATGACTGGTTTCCAAGGAGGACACAATAAAAAGTCTGTAGGAGCAGCCTATAGGATTAGCCACATATACAGGCCTATACGGGCACCTCGTAAAACCACCAGGCCTCCCTGCTCCACGTCAGCCAAAAAAACCTCCAATCAGCCTCAGCTCTGTTTGTTTCTCTAAGGAAGGCAAAGCCCTGGTGATCCAAGTGTAAGAGTGTGGAGAGAAAGAAATGTAACATATGTAAGCTTAAAGAAAAGTAGCCAAAGTAATTTGAACATACAGAAAACATCATTAGTGTAGTAGAGGATTAGAAAGCTAGATTTGTAATTTATGGAAACCCTTTACTGCCCGGAATAACACAGAACAAGATATAAACAATAAGATTTAAAAAAAAGGTAAAATAAGTAAAGAGTAAATAAAAATAAAATAAGCTATGAAAAGATGAAAAGAGAATAAAATAAAAATAAGATTAAACGTTATTATTACACAAAGAAGTCCTTTATTCGGGATTTGTCCCATAGTAGTACTACATAAAAACTGCAAAGAAATACAAATAATACAATAACAATAAAAGACGCATTTGGTAAAATCAGTAAACTGTAAAAAATAAATAAAAATGCAAATAATATTGAGGTTACTGTTGTAAAATAAGGTTTAAAAAAAGGAATTACAAATACATAAAAAATAAAAGTAGACAGTTCAAAGGTAAGGTTTAAAAACGTTTCATATATTGTCAAAATGTCAATTAAATAATAGTCACTTGATTCTTCATAATGAGACATTTATATAGCATATTATGTAAAATACTATTTACTAGTGATGATTGAAAGGATTTAAACAGCTAACATTTAAAAGAGCAGCTCTTAAAGGTCATAATAAGGCACAATATTGTGCACAGTAATGCCTCATAAGCAAATGTTAAAGGGTGTGCGTGTGTGTGCAGTTAAAGTGATGACTAAACATTTTAAAAGGACTCTTTGATGCGTGTACACTGAAATAAATCAGGAAATGATCTGAACTTCCCCTCTGGTTTGTGTCTGCATGAGCATGTACAGAAAACACACTGATGACATAACACAGCGTTGCATTCACATGTTGCATTCACACCACAGGCCATGGATGTATAATAAGAATTGGATACAGCGTGGGAGGCGGAATCTTGTTCTTTCCTATGAGAGCTGCTCATTGGCGCATGAGGACAAAATGGCCCAACTTTTGAGAGAGCGAAACGTCACAGATTACCCATCATGCCTGGCTGTGCCCTCACAGAGCATGCGCCCCTTAAGCCCCGCCCCCCGAGCTCCCACTCTCGGCTCACTAGAATGAGTGAAGAGAGAAAATAAATCTAGATTCGGGTTTTAGTGCAGTTTACAACTTTAAGGACCTAATGATTATAATAATAAAATAGTTCATACTGGGTAATTTATTTAGTTTAAAAAAATGTATCCGCTGATTTACAGAAGTCTCTTTCCCAATGTTAGTCAATGGGAAAAAGTATTTCTGGGCCCAGGGACGCCACGGACTGATACGAAAATTGTAGTACCGCCGTTTGGACACAACGAATATTTTCCTCTGAGTCCGGCGCACTTCCTGGGGGCTTGCCACAGGCCTGCACACGGAAACTTAAAAACAAGGCTGCAGACTTCCACGCAGTCAGCGGTCGCCGCTGCAGCGTCAAGCCGCCTCATGGTTCCACAAAGGCAGCCGTAGAGCGAGAGGAGGTCACGGAGAGAGGGGCATGTGTGCGGGCCAGGTATATTTGTGGCTCCTGCAGATCCTCACAACAAATAGATGGAGCTCAGCGACCATAATGCCGACCCCGCCCCCCTTTCATGCTACAGGCCCGCGCTCGTCACAGTTACCGTAACGCATGGCCAAAACGCGCAGGTCTTTTAAGGGGGAGTGTCCCTCTTCTGCGGCATGGCTCAATGAGAGAGCAGGCTCTGCGGACACAAAGCAGAGCTCCCCCCCCCCCCCCCCCTTCTGCTGCTGACACGCTGTGGTGTTGTCAGTGATGTAATGCTGAATTAAAGGGCGGTGAGACAGGAAAACTAAACCCTTAAAACCTCTGCAGGTAACACATGGGCAGAGCCTCCAGTGTTATTATGTGTTAGAAAAGACAATCAAATACAAAGACACAATGCTATCACAAAGAGACCGAAAAACACAGCAACTCGAAGCATGTACAAACATACATAAAACAACTGCAAAGAGACAAAAATAAAACAACACGTACGATTACCAAGTGATGCAACATGACCAGCAGAGACACAAAACTACTGTAAAGAGTTACAAAATGACTATAAAGAGACACAAAAAGACTGAGACACAAAATGACTGTAAAGGGACACAAAATGACTACAAAGAGACACAACATGACTGTTTAGAGACATAAAATGACTATTGAGGGACACAAAAAGACTGTAGAGATACAAGATTACTGTAAAGAGACACAAAAGGACTACAAAAAAATAAGAATGGACCATTGGGACATCTATAAAAAACTGTGAGAACAGAACTTTCAATAAAACAACATTCAGTAAAGCTGCTGTTTGTAGCATGTAAACTGTAGGAAGTGTTTTAAGATAAACTGGTTGGCGAGAAGAGATAACAACAGAAACGTCATCCTCCACAGCCTCAAGCCTTTATACTTTAACTGAAACTCTGCAGACTGGAGTCTATGCACTTTTATTTTCCTACAATAAATCCCATACAAGTATTGTGTGCAGAGAGGGGAAGAACTAATCAGATTTTATACTTTGTTAAAAGTAAAAGTCTATACTAACATACTGGAGGCCTGTGGTGCAGTGGGTTGTGCGTTGATGTTCCGATCAGGGGGTCACAGGTTCAAACCCCACTGCAGCCCTGTTAGATCATCCAAACAGATCATGCATTTTAGACATCCCTCATACCGTATAAGGGATGTCTAAAATGCATGATCTGTTTGGATTTTGAGCAAAACACATCATAGACATGTTTTTATATATTTTTATATATCTGAGACCCATAATATATGCCTTAAAATAGCATGATAAGTGCACTTTAATGCATAATAATAAATCATTATTAATTAATTAATTAATTAATTATTTTTGCACTTTCTTCATTAGATTTTCAAGAAACATAAAGGATACATTATTTTATCAACGTACAAACATACTCGGAAAAATGTAAATACATAATTACAAAATAGTGCTAATAAAATATACAAATGTTTAAAATAAATCTCCTACAGCTATGTCCCTGTAAACATGTTTTTTGTATCATAAATCGGTTGCAGTGAAAATAAAAGTAGCAGAAAACCGTCAAGTTAAACTACTCTAACATCGTATTTAATGCAGTAAATGTCCTTTCACTTGTGTTTTTATGTCCTCAGTCTTTTCATGGAGACAGATGAGGAGATTTTCTGGACTTTAGTGAGGGGAAGAGGAGATTTAAATAACTGAATAAATGAATAATGATGACGCCCTTCACATATTTGGATAATAAAAACCTGCTGAGTGTTCTGTTATATAATATATTATTAAATAAAATAACAATCTACTCAGCACTTTTATAACTGGCACAAGATCACTGTGAGATTTTAGGAGGCAGTGTCTAGTGCACATAAAGAAACACTATGCATTATATGACGAAAACAATACGATTTTCTTTTTTAAAGGAGCCCTATTATGCTCATTTTCAGGGTCATATTTGTTTTTAGTGTCTCTACTGTGACTTGTCTCCATGCTTTAATGTTCAAAAAGCTCTTTCTTTCTCTCATACTGCCTGTGCTGCATCACCTCTTTTCACCCTCTGTCTGAAACCAGAGCCCAGTCTGCTCTGATTGGTTAGCTGGCCGGCTCTGTTGTGATTGGTCAACTGCTTAGAGATGGCCCGCCCCTTAGCCTATCAGGTACAACGTTAGAAAGCTAGCCAATAGAAGCGCCAGTGTTTAATAGTGATGTCACTATTTCACGGAAGGGCCAAAATATCAGCCAGAGGCGTTTTCAAAAAACATGGCTTAGCAAACAAAACAAAAAAATCGTATTCATCTGAAGACATCATCTTTTTATCAATTTCTTCTCTTTAGAATAAGTTCTTCAGTGCAATATGTAACCTTTGCCAAAACATGTATACTGAATACTGAGAAGTGGAGACACATTTAATATTTTCATCAGTGTGCAAATTGTGTTCAGTGTTTTACATCGAGCACAGCTGTCGGAATATTAACTGTCGAATCTTTAGAGCTAGGTACGTTTTTGCATACAAGAAATTTGCTTTAGTATATCACGGTGAATACATGAGGAACTAAGTTGTAAACTAAGATCAAATATGGAACTATTGTAACGAATAGTGTAAAATAATCAGGTCCTGTGAGCTGTATTGTGAAACCTTGTTTCTGTTGAGTTCCGTTCCAGGGATAGCTTGGTCAACAATTGGGTGCGAACCAGTTTGCTTTTCTATTGAACAAAGCCCAGGAGGAGCCACTTAATGACGTCACTGTTTAGAATAATGTAATGCCACATGGTCAATAAAGTCAATGTTTCAGTGTTTTTCAGTGCAGGGGAATATCCTTCAAAACAAGAACAATGGTGGCAATCGTTCAGCCTGTCCTCCTCCAAAAAACGACCAAATAGGTTAATTGTTCAAGCAGCTTACGACCTATAATCACGTTTTAAAGTTTTCGACCCCTAGTGGTATTGTAAGAAACAACAATTTGCGGCATATGGGCTGATGCTCCCGTTGATTGCAAACACTTCGGTGGGTCGTATACATAGGCGGCGCGTGAGGCTCAGGTTTGGGAAGGCTAAATAACTTTTTTTACCTGACGCTGCCTGCCTCCGGCGTCAATAGATAAGAGATCAACTCAGTGAAAGCACCGCCTGCTGACCAATCAGAGCTCAGTGTGCGGAGTTTAAATCTATCAAGTCATATTACAGGATAAAGGGAATACAGTTTAAACTGCCGTATGCAGAGAAGACGCCAACGTGTCGCACTTATTCATATCACGTCATCAATCAGATCATCGATCATATAATATCATAATATATCATATTTCCTTATCTGAGTCAGCTTCTCGAGCCGTATCTGGCCGTGCAACACTTAACTATGCAGAAGTATTATTTTAAGCAACACATTAGGTTGACGAAACAATCAACTCAAATGTAATTAAAGTCAGATCCACTCGTGTCTTAGATGGGGCAGTGATATCATAAAACTGTTACGCTTTCAAACACTCGGTAGTTTATTTATTTTTTAACCAGTTGTTCTATATTCTCCTTGTGGCTTGTATCCTGGATTATATGTTTAAGTCATGGATGTTTAAAGTTCATATTTGTCTAATATTAGTTTACTTTTCATTAATGAAGTATGACGCTGCGCTGTCAGTACACTTGTCCCTGTTTGTGATTGGTCAAATGTTGCTAACCCCGCCCCTTTCACGTGAACGCGCTCTCAGCTGGAGAGAGAAACCCTGGCCCTTTCTCATTTCATCAAATCCCCCTCCTCGACTCCTCGGTCCTCCGGTAGTGACCCGGAAATGAATTTCAGCGCGCCATGTTGAAGGACATCTCATTTCTCTAAATGCACTTCGAGGACCGAGGATCGAGCGTCGAGGAGGCTCTCTGGAGGAGCTATAACCGAGGATACACTGATGGGTCCTCCATGGCTCCTCCACGGCTCCTTCGTGGATGCATTTCCGGGAACAGAGATGTTTCAAAAAGTCGTGACGCACGGCGGACTTATCTCAGCCATTGACAGCTCTGCATGCATCCCCTGGGCCCAGGAGTTCAAAACTTTTAATCTCAATCAGATCTGATCAGATTTTGAAATCCCATTTTTTGTGATCCAGGATCAGACAAGTTGGCCAAATGTTGTCCCTGGAGTTCAAAGCAATTCAGGATAGGATCACCCTGATCCAGATTACGATTTTTCAAGATGACTAGATCCTGAATATCAGTGCTTTAATCCTACCGATCGCCATCTAGTGGATATGAAAAATAATACAAGGAAGACAAGAGACCACATTGCAGAGACATCTATTGTCCGCATTAGGCTACATGCACAGTCACTTCCGCATTCTACTCATAGCGGCCGATTCATTTCCTGTTTGAAAATGACGACCTTCTACACCCGCTGCCTACAAGAGCTTCCGAAATTAAAAATGTCAGATGTTCATCGGATTTGCCGGACGACTAAAGCCCCAGCCAGCAAACTCGATAAAGGCTTCAAATTATATGCTGCGTCATATATACACAACTATGAAGGTAAGAAAGTAACCGGTACTAACCAGCTAGCTTATGCTCCGGGTTACGCTAACATTAGCTGTCAAAAGCTAGGTAACGCCAGAGCCCTATAGTATAACTACTATTATTATTATTATTATTATTATTATACTACTACTATAGTAGACTACTATAGGGCTCTGGGTAACGCTATGTACTGTTTCTGGTGTTAATTCTTTAAAACATTAGCCATTTTGCTAACAAATACTATCGTTTAATAGCCTTATAGCCTAGCCAAGGTTGTCTTGTTGTTAGCCACACTGCATAATGGTATCAGCTTTTGTAAAGCAATGTTGCCATAGATGTGTTGACGTGAGTATAGATCTAACGCTGTTGCTCTGTTTTTCTTCATTCAGTGTCCAATAAAGACAGGCTGACAGGACAGGTCAGCGTGAGAGCCTTGTGCTACAGGTCAATGCGGAAGAGCGAGACAGCACACAGTTTGAGTGTAGGCAGGCAGCATTGACACTGTTCCCCCCTGTTTATTGAGTTTCAGTTCAGTTAAACATTAGTTTACCTTAAGGGAATCTCAACAGTGTCCTACTTCTCCCTGCTTTATCACAGCTGATTGGTCAGATATTATTACATTGATTATGGATGTGTAAGTTTGGGGGTTCAAATATATAGTCAAAACTGCTTTAATACAATTTTCAAGGCATCTTAGTTTCCAAAGAAAGTTCATTGTGGTATTGTAGGGTAAGAGGGTAACACTAAGCATTCAGGAATACATGCTTCTTCTAGGATAATGGGTCAGTAAAAATAACCAATAATTCTACTCATAATAACCTCCTGGCTCATAGTAACAAGTGAGGTTACTAATCACTAGTATTTCTTCTCTCTTTTTTAGATAACGCTTCGTGATTCATCACCAGTGGTGCTCACGCACAACCAGTGCTCCTGTGTTGCAGGAACTGTTTTGTGCAATCACACAGTAGCATTGCTGTTCCAAACAGCACACTACACTGAACTGAACATGCCAGTTGTGCCACCTGTGCATAGCTGTACTGAATCGGAACAGCAATGGCACAAGCCGCGAACAATGGTAATTTCAATGAGGTTCAAATACTTGTAATCTTTCACAGAGTTTTTGTTTTAAAGTGACTCAACGAACAGTAATGGTATTTTCCTTAAGGGTGTGAAGCCAGGGCCCATCAACTCCATGGTCTTCACCAAGCCTGTACCAAATAGGATGGTGCAGACTGGAGTAAGGTAATTTTAGCTGGAAAATTGTGTTTCCTGTATTTTTAAAATTCATAATTCTGGTGCTGTATTCCTAACCTTTATTGTCACATTAATGTGCTATATTGTCTTTGCCATTCTTTGTAGGAGTGGATTCTACAGAGGCATGGTGGGGCCATTACCAGATCCCTGCCTGTTCAGAGTTACGGAGGCATACTCAGCATTCAGCATTGAAGACAGGCCGCTTGTGACCACAATGAACATGAGACCTGACAAGCCCCTTGTGGAAAGTGCCTTCGGGATTGTGCAGGAGGGCAGTGTTCTGTCCTATCAGATGCCTGCTTTGACGTCTCGGTACACCACACTTCACACTGACACACCACCAACACCCCACTTGCCCATAGAGGGGTATGTGATCTTGCCATGTGATTTACCGCTGGTGTGCTCAGAAGAGGAGCAACTACATATGAACAGCTTATCTGTTGATTTGGAAATGTCTCACAAAATTGAGGAGGCTACCCGTGAGCAAAGCTCTAGCTCAGAGTGGCATCTGCTCCGCAAACCCAGGGTTACTGCCTCTAGGTTTAGAGAGATTTGTCACGTCAGAGGTGAGAGCTCTGCTAACTGTCTTGCAGAGCGAATACTCAAATGTACAAGGCAGACTGCAGAAATGAGGAGAGGTGCCGAGATGGAGCCCACAGTAGCAGCTGAATACAGTAGACTGGCAAACGTGAACTACTCCCCTTGTGGCCTTGTCATTCACCCCTCTACGCCCTGGCTTGGTGCCTCCCCTGAAGGAGTTGTTTTTGACCCAACAGAATATCCCCAATTTGGCCTTGTTCAATTCAAATGTCCCAATGTCCCAAATTATGTCGACTGCAAATATGTGCAGATGGAATGTGGCTCCCCTAAGCTCAAGAAAAGCCATGCCTATTACTGGCAAGTACAGGGTCAACTTCTTGAATCTGGGATGCAGTGGTGTGATTTTGTAGTGTGTGCACAAGAGGACTACCTGGTGCAAAGAATATACACAGATCCAGAAGTGCAAAGAGCAATCAGAGAAAAAGTAGACTTCCTTTTTTTTTTTACACATACATGCCGAAGTACCTGTCATTAAAAAAGTAGTGGGCACTGTAGCCATTGTTAACTCTGTAAGCAGTTAGCTGCTAGACCCTGGCTCAGCCGTCATTGTTTTAGGAGGCAATCCCTCAATCATGTGTTCTGAATGACAACAAAATGTGATTTCAATATTTTGTTTTTGATATATATTGTTTGTCACATTTCATATATGTAAATAAATATACAATTGTATTTAAAAAGACAATAAAGTGAAGTGATTTGTGTAATGAATAGTAAATCATTGCATTTGTAAGAAATCATCAACGCATTGTAATTTGCTATTTACCATTTATTCAAACAAAACACTAGCGTGTGTCAGGCAACACGGGATTACGGTGTGCTCACCCAGCTTAATCACAGCTACCTGCACAGGTGTCATCATCTTGTCTTATTTCACCCATTTCTTGACCAGTGCTTTGTTCTGATAGTTTGACAGCATACATGCTACTGCAAACAGTTGGTTGATGTTGTAGGCATGGGACAGGAGGATGACACCATCAAAAAGTTTGTTCTCTTTTATCCTCCTGATGACACGCTCCACATGAACCCTCAGTCTGGCAATGGCCTGTGTCTCCCTCACCTGATAGGCTGGCATTTGCTTCTGCTTTGACAGAAAAGGTGGGCAGTACACCTTGCATTTGCAGCAATCGCTGATCAGGAAGCCCTTATCTACCATCACTGCCATGTTTTCAGTCAACAACGCAGCTATTCCAGATTGTTTGAAAATCTCCTTGTCGCTGACAGAACCACCATACAGACTGGAAACAAATGTCACTGCGCCATGTGGGGCTATGCCAACCAGGGCTTTCATGGTGCAGTGAGATTTGTATGTAGAATACATTTCACTTTGGAGGAGGAGTGAGGATGGTGTTTGACACCTCAGCCCTGTGCAATCCAGGATCACCTGTGTGTCTGGGAAATCTTTGAATGCCTCTGGGAGGTGGGCTTGAACTTCTGCAGGTGTAAGCCAGATGCACTGTGACCCCAATAAAGTTGTAAGAAAACTCGTCCATGTTGCAATGATGCGGCTCACAGTGGACTGGTGTACGTTGAAGCGGTTTGCAAGGTCCCTCTCTTTCAAACCCACCGACAGGAAGCAGAGAAAAAGGAAGAACTCGTCAATTGGCTGAAGCAGCTGTCTCTGGAAGATAAACAAAAAAAGGGTACTATATTAATGTCATGAGTGTAGCACACCATGGGAAAAACATTAAGTTGTTTTAGTTCTCTGATGTATTCAAAAAGGATTGAGTACTATAGCCTTTTAGCCTACACGAAAGCAATGAAATGTTGGAGAAACATTTTCCCTTCAGTTTGTGTTTAGATTGTGTGTTAAAAGAAACGTAGCCTACCGTTGATGGACGTGCGTGTGTAACCACTTCTTCATTCCTCTTGGCAGCTGATATCGCTCTTGTAACACGAACCATTTTATAAATGGAAGGCTCAATCAAAAACCAGAAGGCCATCAGGTGGTTATAGCTCGGGAATCTGTACACAAAAGACATGTCAGTCATTAATTGACTCGTTAACTGTAACACATGGGCTAATGCTTTCCTCTTGTTTGCTATAATACATTACAATTCAAATCGACTGATTAAGAAGGCACTTGGTGCAGGTATAGTAATATACAGCAGTAACATGTAACAACTACATTAAAGCAGCAGTAATAATAATCTAAAACATACAGGGAACATTTTACACAGAATGACTACTTTTACTCTTCATTCTTAAGTGTGCAACTGGGAGAAACGCAGTGGATATTGATATGTACTTTTACTTTGGTAAGGTTTTGAAGATTTCCACTTGTAGTAAAGTATTATCAGTATGTTGTTAGTATTAGTATGTTTTATTCCACCACATTTAGTTAACCTTCATAGTTTCTAGTTACTTATGAAAACACATGATTTATGATTCTACATGTTCAGTTCAGGAGTATTTTCAAACCATAGTATTTGTACCAATACTTCAGTTAAGTTGAGTAGCCTACTTATTCCAACACTGCATGCAAATAGTCAGCAGTCAAACGGCAGGTAAACAGGATTCTTTATAAGCTAACCCATCTCAAAAACTTGGATAGAATTTAGCCAAAACATTACCTGGTATAGAATCGGATGTTGTCGTCGGAGCCAGCAAACCGCTGTAAGCAAAACTCTCGCTGGACTCTTAACTCCTGCAGTTGCTTCTGCAGATCCTCCACTGTTTTGGAGTTGTCTTCTGTAGCTTGAGAGGACATGTCCAGTGAAGCTGGTTCAGGGGTTGAGCAGTAGTCATGGTCACGGACATCGATGTGCTCTTCCTGCTCCTCCCGAGAGACTGGTTCAGTGGGCCGCTCCCTTCTCTCCCAAACACTAGCCCGCGGTGTTTGAGCAGTGAAGTGATTCCACTCAAACAGAGTTGGGACAGCACCTTTCACAAGCCTCCTACGGCCATCAAGGGTTTTTGGCTCTATTAGTTGATCCGTAGCGAAGTGACGACTGCAGACCTTGGAGTGAGAGGAGATTGTAAAGTTATCGCGTCGTATTTTAACCAGCCACTGTCTTCGCAGCTCGAGTTCGATCGGAAAGCCATGGAAACTTAGGACGCCGTTGAATTTAGCTGACGCCGTACAAAGTGGGACACAGCAGTGCTCGGAGTAGTTCTTTACTTGTCTTTGCAAATGCTCCGTTTTGAAAATCTTCCGTCGACTCATATTTAAACCACAGATTTAAACAGTAAAACATTTGTGGACGCTCAGCTACGCAGACCAGAAGCAACCCGGAAGCGTCCGAGCAGTATAACGGCTAAGGCGGAAGTACGTCTCAGACCCTAGTGCATGTAGCCTATTACTTTTGAAAGGTGATGACAGATGATGGACTTTTTTTTTGTTGAAGATATTTTTTAATTTAATCTAAATTACATTTGTGATTGACAATCTTTGTTGTGATACTTTTATGAGCATAAACATTTATGTCATCAACATTTGGTTGAAAACAAAATAGGCCACCACAAACGTGACCAAAAATGGAAAAAATTAAATGTATTTCCCATGAAGGCTAAAAATTGTGTATTATTTCAGTTAACAAACTTTGCCATCTAATTTAAATTGAAACATATTTTTAAATAAATTTTACAGTACATGTTGCTCTGGTAATCCACTGGAAATCCACCCCTCTGGTGGGATCAGGATAATCCAATTTTCTGGGATCAAACTGATCCCAATCCTGTGTTGTCGGTTTGAACTACCCGTTTTGAAGATTTGATCCAGATTAAAGATTGGATTGGATTTCCTGATCTGATATCAAAGCGATCCTAATCCTGTTTTTTGGTTTTGAACTCCCCAAAATCCAAATCTGATCTGATCAGATAGGGATTAAAAGTTCTGAACTCCTGGGCCCTGGATATTACTTTAGTAACTGCTTTCATCGCGATGCGATGTTTACAGTGAGAACAGCTGTGAGGTCCGTGCAGAAAGCAGAGCAGTATGTATAATATATATCACTCAGTATAACAGGCCTACATTACTCTCTTTATTTTCTTTAGTTTAGTAGATAACTACAAACAAAGAGTCGATATTTTTAAAACCATTTAGTGCTTCACATAATAAAATACACAACGGCTGTAGCCTGATTATATGCTTTAGGAGCTGTAGGTGTGTGTGGTACACTGTGTAGGTGTGTGTGTTGTACAGTGTGTAGGTGTGTGTGATGTACAGTGTGTAGATGCAGCGGACAGACAGGTCTCAGTTGGTTTGGTGTCCTATGCTTACTTTTAATACTTGTAAATAAAACTTTTGGCCCGTAATTGATTTCCCTCATTGTAGCGACCAGAGAGGGGGGGGGGGATATATCCAGTCTCTGATAGTGTTACGTTATTATGAGAGTGCTCTGTTTGATTCTGAAATGGTATATATTTATATAAATATATATATGTGTGTGTGTGTCCGCATCTGTAGCCTGTTATTGTCTCATTATACCGCACTGTGAATGAATCAAAGTAAATATATAAGTGGTCATGAGCACATCTGTCCATCAGACAGAGGGCTGCTGTGCCTCCTGTCATCATTAATGGACGTCTCTTTAAAATGACCGCTCAAAGGAGAGGAGTTCTCATTTCTCTAACCGCCTGCTGCTTCCCCTCCTCTCTCCTCGGTTCCCCTCCTGAGTCCTCCGCTCGCATCTCCTGTGGGCGGTACTAAGTCTCGAGGATAGGAGTCGAGGAGGGGAGTCGAGGAGGGGAGTTAGAGAAATGAGAAAGGGCCCCTGGCTTGATTTACCGAGTTGATAACCAGCGTCGTAGGACCGCATAGCGAGATATAGTTTGTTTGTTTGTTGTTGTTAGTTAGTTTGTTACTCAAACATATCCAGGCAGGTCTGTTGAACTGGCTTCATAGTACAGGGCACAGATGGCTGCATAGCAGCGCCAAAGACACAAACATATGTTTTTATTTTACCAGGATGCAGTGACAAAAATATTTGGGAAGGCTTAGCCTTGCCTACAGTACCCCGCCGCCCCTGGTCGTATATATATTCACAAATAACCCTCTCTGGAAAATCCTAAATTGAAGGATAGTTTGGCCATTAAAATGCTTTTTGATTAGATTTCTAGCGAGAAGTGTATATTGTACTTTTAGAATTTACGTCCAGTGGATGTAGGGTTTATAGTTTGATAGATATTACGAAGATTATTTGAGGTCTCGCTAGGAGAACGTGAATATACTACGTATTTCCCCCTATTAATTTCTATTGACCAGCGTCCATGCAAAGTTAGCGTCAACCCTCACGGGGTGAAAACAGTATTTCCGGTCTCAAAGTTTTCATAGTAAAACCGGAAGTATTCCCCTCACTGTCAAATTATTTTACAGTGATATCTGCCGTACTCATCAACTAAAAACATCAGATTATCCTACACTACCCATAATCCTCAACTATCCTCAGCTATCATTTGGGACTTCACCAGTCCGTATTGCTTGACACAGAGATGTTCACAAGTCTTTGGTCACAAGTCCAAGTCAAGTCTCAAGTCTTTGTGGGGTGAGACTTGATCAAGTCTCAAGTCTTTGGTCACGAGTCCAAGTCAAGTCTCAAGTCTCTAAAAAATAAAAGTCTCATGTCTCTTCTGGTTGTAATAAGCCTTCTATTGTCTGCTGCTATCCAGTCTGTTAAAGGAATGCTCCACTCATTAGATAATTAATCAAAACTTCAGTATTTAGTGAAACATTATGTTTAAACCATACCCTGAAGAAATCAGCGATATTCCCCGGTAAATAATGATTTTATAGCTCTTTTTTATCAAAACCTGTATATTCCGTCAGGCCGCTGCCATTTTGCCCATTTTCAGAAGTCACGTGATGGTCGTGACGTCATCCATGCGTTCACTTTGTAAACACACGAAAACATGGCGAAGTTTTGAGCAATATGAAGAGATTGGAAGGGGGAATTCAGCCATACAGGTTCGAGCCTACTTAGTACTACTTAGTAGATACAATGATTTTGATTACTAGATATGTATGCATGTAGTACCACCCTTGCTAGCGATTCCCTCTCTAGTTTAGCATACTCAGCCTCGTTGTCCCTGGCCCTAGAACAACGATTTTATGGGGCCGGAAAAACTGGGGGGAAATACCCACTAGCCGGTACTACGCTATATGGAAAGGCCACCAAAAACTGGCCTGGCCTGGACGATAAAGGACGTTTAAACGGGGCTACCCGCTGCAATGAAAATGCGCCATAACATACCTTATTCTTACTCCGAGCACTACTTCTGGTCCTCCGTCGCTTCACACTTGCAGAGGGCGATTTCTCAACTGGCCGAACTGGTGTCCTGGTCGGTGATGACACCAGAAAGACCGATGGTACTGCATCTCCATTAAGTAATGGTTGTTCAATAAATCCCATTTTATGTTTCATCATACTCTCAGAGTAGTCGTCCGGAAACTTGAAATGTTCGCTGCATACATGCGCCTGTGGATCTTTCGGTTCGGGCCGGCCACATTTCGCTAGCCACTGCCTCCGAACGTACTTTCTATGCTTACCTTTTGGCAACAGATAGAACCGAGCATTCCGTGGATTGTTCCTATCAGAATTGTGGCAATGTTTCGCGATACAATGAGGCATATTTGAAGAGAGTAACTACAGTAAATAACATGAACATCAACGTGTCCTCGAAACCAAACGCATGGTTTACGTCACGTTCGGTAAAATGGCGCCGCCCACAGTGTTGATGTTATTTCGGTAATTTATCAGTTTAAAATCACTGATAATGTCATCGGATTAAAAAAAAAAAAGAGAGAGACTGGCAGAGACTGGTCTGTTTTATCAGATGATAATTATTTAAAAATGAGTGTCATGAGCATACCATTCCTTTAAGAATACTGTACAGCTATATCTAAGACATTCAAAGCATTTACTGTATTATTATCACTCCTATATCTATTAGCATACAGTATCAGTACTGATTAGTTGTTTGTTATATGATCACTTTAAACAGGCTATTGCAATGCAATATGAGGAAAAACATCACACTTTAGCTAAATGCAAACAACTTATAAGCAAAACACTTCAGAATCAGAAATCAGTATCACAAATACTTTATTAATCCCCCGCAGGGAAACTGTGTTAAAAGTACTTAAAAGTAAACAATTGTTCTGTGCCATTTGCAACTAAAAAACTATTGCTGCAATATTATCTGAAATATACTGAACTGGTGATATTAAAACATGACCTGTTCCAAAAGAGATATCTACCATTAACACCATTTACCAGCCAAATGCTGGTAAATCATGCAAGTGGCTGGTACTGTATGTTGCACGCACCAGCCACAAATAACAATGGCAATCTATTGAGTGGCTGGTAACATTTCAACATTCCTAGCCATTTGGCCAGTGGGCAAAAATGTTAAAAGTTGACCTCTGCAACCGTATTGTTTAATTACACTGGGTCTCTAATTACATCTTTTAAGTCTACTATAAATAAACATATTCCTCTATCCTCTCACTCAAACCCAGTGTAATGGTAACCTGATAAACCTGTAACATTAACGTTACGTGGTCAACAATAAACCTGTAACCTGCCTATAAACCGACAGATGTATTTATGTATGTAACTATGTATTTTTCTACGTTTAACGTTAGCCAGTAGATGGTGGCAGCGGAACGTAATGATTAACGTTACCGACCTTTTTTATGTCATGTCAAGAGTTAGATGTCAACGCCACTCAACGCAAACAAGTGTGACAAGCAAACATTCACTCATCTTTTCAAATATTCAGTTACAACGCTAGTAGCAAGCTAAGTTAACATTACATAGCTGATGCTGAGCTAAACATGTTTGCTAACCGTCCATATGCGTTAATGTGACTGACCTCTCCGGGTGAGTTTTCAATTGCCTGATGAAATTTGACGTTGTTGCACCAGCATCCTTGATTTTAATATTGCAGACTTTGCAGTGTGCGCTCCTTTTGTTGGTGCCGCCGGCGTTTTGTTCGAAGTTTTTATAGTTGAACCTAATTACAAGCGGTACAGCTGCAGGTGTGCCGCCGGTCGCCATGGTGTTACCATGTGATGGCGTTTTGTGCGAGACCAGAGACCTGTAGTTCACTGAGCGGTTTCACACAAAAAAATGTGTAACTTCACAGTTTTACGACACATTTTTATTTTTTTGACTTGTAAAATGTTCTTTTAAATTGACAAACATCATATGTGTCATTTGTGGCACAATTCAAACGGGATCAAAAGATAACCTTTCTCTCTCCATTGACTTCAATGTATAATTTTCCGCTTCCGGGGTCCCATGGAGGCTCCCGGAAGGGGAGGGACTTCGCCTCTCTATTCCTTGACCTCTGAGTGAAACGTCACGGGGTTAAGGGATAGTGGATAGGAGAATTCAAAAGGATTTAGGAGAAGAGACTGCGGTACTTTAGAGAATCCGACTGCACTTTCACTATCCGACGTGTTTATGATGCGCCAGCGGACGTCATAAATGTGCGTCTGCTGCTGTGGGGAAACCATGGAAACTACAGTTGTCTATACAGCGGACTACAACATGGATGTTCAATAAGAACGAGGGACTACTGTAAACTCATCTAGAGACTCTGCACCGTGCTCTGATGCTGTTGTTTTATGCTTTATGAACGGGGACAACAGAGAAACATATTCTTCATGACCAAAGTAGCTCTGTAGCCCCATCCACGAGTAACGTTTCCACGTCAGGTGTTATGTATGCTAGCAGCAACACACGGAGTTAACTCAATGATACAAACATGGGTTAATGATTAGAGGTAACTGAGTTATTTAGTTTGTTAAAGTTTCAGCTATTCTGTTTACAGTTCTGTCATCAGATTATTTAATACGATTTGTTAAAACATTGTTGTTTCTTTTGATGTGAAATATTATTGATTTAATTTAAATAAAAAGCAATGTTAATTTTGTTCACATTTAATTTAATAATATATGTATTTTTGAATCAAGTATTAATCTTGATTGTCTTCATTGTTAGTTTCCACATGCCGAAAACAACCTCAAGCTAAATCTAAAAGTTGATGGCTAAATAAGAGCGCTTGAGAAATTGTGCAAGGCATACAGTAATAGTCCGAATAGTCGATTAATCGTTTCATTAATCGATTATGAAATTCGTTTGTTGCAGCCTTATTGTAGTTATCCCATGTATAAATAAAACGTGTTATTCAGCAACCCTTGCAATTTGGGATTTTATTTTTGGTTGGTAGACCTCGGTGAGCTGGTCATTTCAAAAGTAGCTCACCAGCCAAAAAAGTGTGGGCACCCCTGATTTAGGCTAAATATCTTTCCCTGATATACCTGGTTTAAATGTAAGCCTGTTGGCTCACAGTAGGCCTATCGCCATGTTAATTCAAAGATTAACTAAATATAAAGATAAATGCATTAAGAAGGATAAAGATGGGTTTATTATTATATATATTATATAGAAAATAATTATATGAAATCTTGTTTTTTGCCTTAATCTATGGTCTGTGTCCTTTCGTTCATCCATTTACACCTATAGGGCCCATTCTATTTGTCAGTTTGAAGACCTTGCTGCACTAGCAACCTGTTAGGGGCTGGTGACAGAAGAGGTTACCAGCCCCTAATAGTCAAATAACCAACTTTTATCATAAGATAACACTCTTTGTTACATATAAATAAGGTTTTTTGGGGATTGGTCTCCTAACTTTAATAATGACAGAAAAGTATAAACATACCTTTTGGATTTTTCCTTTCAAATTTCATTTCCGCCTAAATTGTATCAGTGTTTGATTGTATATTTTACAAAGATGGACAAAGGTATTGGTACAAAATGTGCTTTAGTGTATGCTTTGCCTCACCCTGAACATATAAACCAAAGTTGGTGACATTCTGATCCTTATTTCCAGATATACACGTGATAAGGTTGACATGGCCCCCTTCAGAGGAGCCTACATTTTCACTATTTTCGGTTATGGGAAGGTTCCATATATCAACAAAATTTTTTTATTTTGCAGTAAAATATTTTTATACAACAATCCGTTTCATATATTACAGATATTAAAGTAATGAAAAAACATGGTTGTGCTTTGTTCTACCTCGGGTAGGGGTATCTCGATAACTCAAGCCTTTTTGGGGGGTTTGTTCCTCTACTATTATATGGTGTTGTATATGCACTCTAGGGGTTCCTAGGCGTTATTTTGGAACGCGTATGGTCCCGGGTTTGGGTGAATTGATGACCGGTAGCTGATCTGTTCTATTAAATATTCGCTGAAGCATAGGTAGTGGTCCCGCCTGTGTATATAATAGGAGTGTTTCCCCTGGTAGGTTCAAGAGGCGTTTCCCCTTTGGGTTTCGTCTGGGGAGGCTTTGATAGTGTTGAGGTACAGCGGTTAGAGCTTCACTTTCCCTTTTCCCTAAACTTGCTCGGGAGCACTTCCGTGGTTCAGGGGGGTTGCCGGTTACCTGGTCGCCTCTCTCGGTCCAGCGGGATTTAAGTGCATAAATACCCACCGCTACGCCTCATGAAGACTAGGGGGGGGGAGTTACCTAGTAAATTTGTGATCAGGAAGTCAGCTAGCGGGGCTGCTCATTCCTACTGTGTGCACAGGTGGGCTAAGAAATTGCATTTCCTCTGTAAAGATAGCTATTGTTGCATACTGAGGATATTGTGGGGGCGTTTGTGGCTGCAGCTTCTGAAGGATTCTTGGATCAGTGCACCAAGGATCAATTGGTGAACATAGCTCAGTATTATGGTTTTGAAATTGGCGATAAGAGAGTTAAAGAGTCGGTGAAAGCGAATTTGAGGGCTTGTTTGTTAAAGAGCAGTGGTGTAGTGGGCGTTGGACGTTATTTGGAGCAGGATCTTTTTTTTTTTAATAGTCTAATAAATATAAAATCATTGCCAGTGTTATCAGTTGCAAGTGTGTATTTGTTGTAATAATGACAAACATAATACATTTCACAGTAATTATAATAAAAACGATTTCCTTAAAAAATTATGATTCGTCATCACGCTCGTGACCCCGCAAGCTGGGTGTGTGTCAGTGACACACACCCACGGCGAGCTAACGAAAAAGCTCTATAATGGCAGGATAACATGTTTTACTCGACTTCTTTTCTAAAAAGAATATAATTCACAAGAAGAAAGAGGCTAGCAGCACCGAAGCTACAAGTGAAGCTGCTACTAGTACTACATCATCAGAAGAGCCGCCTAAAGACGTGGATAATGCTAGCATTAACGTTAACTGCGCTAGCAACGTTCCCCTAGCTATCTCAAGCTCACCTTTCCCAGATGCATGGAATGGACGGAGGAG